CATTGCTGATGTTTTTGCAGAGATGTTACATGTATGTATGGCCTATGTTTGGATTGATGCTAAGAGTTTAAGACTGTGTATTTGTATGCATTTTAGAAGGACTCTTTATTGGTGAGGTCACCACATCATGGTCCCGTTTGAATATCGATTTAAAGTTCTTTTCGACGTGGGACCATAGTCTGGACTATTTTTGTCTGTTCCCGGTTAGGAAGAGTCTGGTGTTTGAGAGCCGTGGTATGTTTTCATTACAAGAGGTTGGATTATTCATTTGCTATCAGTCAACTTCAGCTATGGACAGTGTTTGGATGCACTACAGATAAGACTTTCGCACACATCAACTTTCACATGACGAAATCCTACAGTCTTACATTGCTTTGTTTTTTTTGTACTTTTGTGTATTTACATTTTTGGCTATATGTAGCTATATTAACCTGAACTGAATGCTTTCTGTTTTGTATTTAATAAATTGATTTGAAATCCCTTTGACTACTGTACATTTTTGACAGTACAGACATTAGTTATGTGGTGACTGCATCCATTTCAGATATATAATAACAGTTTTTTTCCCAAAGACTTAAGTTATAGTAGCTGGAAAGTATTTAAAGTGAAACAGATGCATTGTTGTAGATTAATAGTGCAGGCCCTGTGTGGGCATAGTGAGGGCTTCCTGGGCGCTAAGTGAGGGCTGCCCGTGCAGGGCCAGCGTTAAGGGGCCAACATTTCGACAATGAGCAAATTCTCAGGGGCCCTGCGCTGGCAGCTCGCTGGGGGCCCTAAGGCCAGCCCGTAAAGGGCCAGTGCAGGCTTGTTTGCAGGGATTCCAATTAAGCACACCACCTTTCCAATTGGTGGCCAGAAAGTAAAAGAAGAAGAGTTTGAATAATAACCGTACTTTGGTGTTGCACAAATTTTGTTCAGCTTACGGCTAGCTAGCTGCCTCAGGGGCCGTGACGTTTGTCAGCATTCGCCATTGTCCAAATGATTGAGTTGGCCAGTCAATCAAATAAAGGCGGGCTTTACTGTTCACAGAAGCCAAGTAACAACTGTTATTTGACAACTGTTTCACTATAGAAATGTTTAACGACCAACAGAAATATCCAGAGTTGTTGTAAACTACTATCAAATTTCCCCGTTTTATATTGAAAAAATGTGAATCAAAATTTAATGACTTTGACTCCAAGTGTGTTTCAAGCTTTAGGACAGTCATTTAGCCTATTAAATTAAAAATATTATAGTATTATAGTATATAGAAAATAGTTTGAATGCATTACATTTCAAATTCTATTTCTTTATAGGGCTGGGTGGTATTGCTACATATATATCATGGTTTTCTAACTTGTTTATATCATAGTATTCAAATTTCCCCGTTTTATATTGAAAAAATGTGAATCAAAATTTAATGACTTTGACTCAAGTGTGTTTCAAGCTTTAGGACAGTCATTTAGCCTATTAAATTAAAAATATTATAGTATTATAGTATATAGAAAATAGTTTGAATGCATTACATTTCAAATTCTATTTCTTTATAGGGCTGGGTGGTATTGCTACATATATATCATGGTTTTCTAACTTGTTTATATCATAGTATGTAAATATATCTGTGCAGTACAGGAATACATGTTATTCACAGTGCTCTTGACTGAATAACTTTTGTAGGTTTAATAGGAATCAGTTTATATTTAATTCATACAATGAAGTCTATGCTGTGTTTTATTTTTATATTTGATTATTTAAATACTCCACAGATAGGGAGAACATAAAAATGTACCCCATTGTGGTTAGAATTTTTGATAGTTTTGGGAGGGTAGGTATGATGTTACGTAAGATTTGTGAATCAAGTCTACTGGGTGAGCAATATGAATTGCTTGATAGTGAACTGAAGAGTTCAACATATGTAAAAATGCTCCCAGCCCGTCATAAACCATAGTTTCAGACTCCTCTGAATTTCAGTCATTTTATTCAAACATACACACAAGAGACAAATCTTTTTCTCAGGAATATATGGTTATATCGTTTTCTTCATAATTAATTTTGAATATGGAAATGAGTGTGTGCAAAGTGGTACTCAAAATACGACTTGGACATCTTTCTGTAATATTCATTATGTCTGTACAAATTGTGTACTATTGAGGCACAATAAATGAAACTTTCTTTTATTTATCCATCCATGAGCAAGTACAGAAAGACACAAGAGGATGATTTGGTTTTTGGCGTGCAAATCTGTTAACAGTCAGCTCACATAATCTTCAAACAAATTTGTAAAACCATAAAAAAGTATACTCTTCTTCCAAAACCATTCACTAAAGTACAGTACAGGAGGGATTAGAAACACCAAAAACTCAGAGACTTATTCAGAAAGCAATGAAACAAAAGTGTGTTTTACAATACAAGAAAAATGTCAGACTTGTGCCTTATACTGTAGTTTTAAGAAATTAAACAGCCTGTTTATCACAAAGAACGGTAACTAAAGAGAATACATGGGTACTACACATCATGTGTGAAATTAGTTAACTTCAAAAACATTCACACACTTCTCTATTCAGATGTGCCAATAAAAGCCTTTTAATATATGAATAAAGCAAACATGAAATACACTTTTCCAGCATTTTCCACCGGTTTCACATGCTGCAAGTAACCTGGATTCATTCAAAGGCAAGAAAATGTAAATGTAAATTGTATAAAAATTACATGTACTTAGTAGGAAATTCTGATCACAGATCAGCTTCCTGTTAACTTGTGTTTATCAGCATATAAGACACTACAAATGATTGGGTATCATAAAACCTGGAGGTTTCATATGTATAGGGAGAGATCCTAAATTTGGAGAATTTAGGGAAGAGACTTTAAAGTGTATTTACGTAACATCTAAACAAAAATATTCTAAAAAAAAAAAAAAAAACACTTTCAATAAGTTGCCTCGTAGTAAAAATCCACATTCAAGTCAACTAACTTTAAGTAGCTGTGGGTTATAGTGTGTTAATAAAAAATTGACCATCAGTGAAAACAGATGCTCGGCTTGAAATGCAGACATTCAATATTTCCTGATTAAACTACAGTACAGAAAAACTGATATATACGCTTTCTCAGAATGGGTTGTAACAGATGTTTTCTTTCATTAGTGATGTGAAGGAGTGTGATAGTGTTATCTAAAACAGTAAACATCAGCTGAAAGGGTTAAAGTAAGAGTGTTTCTTAGTATAATTTCCCTAAACCATTGTCTTTCCCTGTTAATACTGGCCTTAAAGTAGTTTAAAAGTGAATTATAAAGGCTAATACAGAGATTCAGTTGGAGTGCGTGAACATGGCACCATGGGAAGGCAGAGGTGTTTTGTACAACATCTACCTGTTACACTTTATGACCATTCAAAACTGCTGTGGTCCCTGAGGCCAGTTTCCACTCATTCACACTGATGTCATTCCAATTTTTCTGCCGTTTTTCCAGACGTCCCGTCTGGCGTGTTCAGTCCATGTAGTCCTTCATGCTGAGCATCGGCTCAACTAGCTGATTGTGGACGTGCATCAGCCCTGCAGGACAGAAGATACATCAGTATGTTTAGGAAATCCAGCCCAGCCAAAGATATTAAACCCCCAGGAGATACCAAAGCCCTTAAGACTGGACAGATTGTGTTTCTGAGAAAAGCGCTTGTGATGGACATTCCAGACGGGTTTAGATCTTGAACCTGCCGTCTTTAGACAGAAATTGACCTTGAGACGAGCCAACCAGTAAAACCAAGATGAGATCAGTAAAAACGATGAAAAGCAAACAAACAGCTGCTCTATTGGGTTCCTCAGAGGAAAAAAGGATGGCTAAAATTGTGGGGTTGGTAAAATTTTTAAATGTTTTTAAAAGACATCTCATATGTTCACCAAGGCTGCATTGATTTGATGAAAAATACAGTAAAAGCAGCAATATTGTAAAATATTTTTACAATTTAAAATAACTGTTTTCTATTTGAATATATTTTAAAATGTAATTTATTTCTGTGATGTCAAAGCTGAATTTTTAATTTTTAAACATTTTCAGAGTCACACGATCCTTTAGAAGTCATTCTAATATGCTGATTTGATGCTCAAGAAGCATGTTTTTTATTATTATCAATGTTGAAAACAATTGCTGCTTAATATTTTTGTGGAAATACTGTACATGCTGATCAAGATTTTTTGATAAACCAATTGTTCAAAAGAAGAGCATAACAGCAATCTTTTGTAACATTGTAAATATCAATTTAATGCATCCTTGCTGAATACAAGTATTAATTTCTTTAAAAAAAATAACAACAACTTTAGAACAGTAGTATGCATATGAAACCTGAGGCCATGAGGATGTAAAGAATTTCATGAAGTCACAACAGTAAAAGTCAATCAAATTCAAACAGAATTTTAAATTGTAAGAGCAAACTGGTAAACCTGAATGAACATGTTTCTTACCTTTCAACGCTTGTTTTAATAAGTAACTATTTAGTCAATTTACCAGTTCTTTGTTCTTCAAAGAATCTGCTTCCACAGAAGAGCAACTTTTCGTCTACGTGAGTCAAAGATTTGCCCCTCAGGCAGCAGAGAGCTCAGTCACGTACCTTTAAAATACTTCACAGTTTTGACCCTGAGTTCCAGTGTCGCATCTTCATCGCAAACAAAAATAGTTCGTGGATGCTGCTGGAAGGCAGACACCGTCCACATGTGGTTCACACCTTCCTCGATGGCTTTATACAGGGCAAAGGCCTTATGAGCCCCTGTGATCAGAATCATGACCTGCAAATCCAGGACAAAAAGATGTCATAAATGATCACATTCAGAATGGTGGCTTTCACATGTTGTTCTGAAGGCAAACATGTGTCAAAAACTAGTTTAACTTTAGAGTAAGATGCCAACATTTCTATGTCTAATCAATAAATTCTCAGGTCCTAAAACAAAAGAAACTGTATTGTTTCATTACTGTAATTAAATTTTTTTTTTTTTCAGGGTACAATGCGACTTGGAAATGTTTAAGGAGACGCACACTGTCTGTTATAATAATATGATGATGACGATAATCAGATGACGTCTGGCATCCACATCAACAAAATCAAGTGACCCGAAGGACATTTTACCCAGCATCCTGTCTGTTAAAGTATTCCGGTATGTTTATGTACTTGTTTGTATTTCCAGCACAATCAGTCTCACATTGAGACACAGACTCCTGTTCAATTTAGTGCTATAACAAAGAGAACATTTGTTACTATATAAAAGATAATTATATTTATCAATTGCAGATGACAAATGCTCCAAACAAAAGTGTGTCTGACTGGGACAAAAGGAAGACACTGATATCACAAAGGATGCTATTGAAATTAAGGACAAAAGATGTTGTGTCCATTATACATTCAGTTTCAACCACTAACACTCACTTCAGGTTCACACTGAGATTCATGTAAAGTCTTACATTTTGAAGTATTAAGAATTTATATTGATGTGGTAAGTAAAATGTTTGCATTGTGACGTTAAATTGATGCCAAATACATTCCCATTTTAATCACTGAAAATATCATTTCCTTCTAAGATGCTTTAAACTTTGCAGCTGATATGACAATCAGTTTGTTTTCGGTTCTGTGCTTTATTCATATTTCTAAGTCTGACATTTATGGTTTATATGCCAGATGATACTACATAACGTTTCTCTCTTTCAGCTGAATGGTCTCCTCCTTAATATGTGAATTTCCCGTATTCTTTAATTTACCTCTCTGGCATCCATCACTGTTCCTACTCCAACAGTGAGAGTCATGGTGGGCACTTTGGAAAGATTGTTCCCAAAGAAACGAGCATTGGCTACTATGGTGTCTTTGGCCAGGGTCTTCACTCTGGTCCTGGACACAAGACTGGAGCCGGGCTCATTAAAGGCGATGTGCCCATCTGGACCAATGCCTAAAAAACCAAGATACAAAATGGAGAAAGATTAATAACAGATTAATGGATGAAAATATGCAATGATTCTGAATATTATAGTAGTTGGGTATGAAAGTAAGTAATGCAAATGACTGAAAACAGGCATTACAGTCGAAATGTGCTTATTTATCATAAAAACACTGTAAAAATGCTCATTTTCTTTTGATAACTCATTAATTATGATTTTTTTATTTTATTTACCCCAGTAGATTCACAAAAGTTACCTATCTACTGTGTATGTTGTCGTCATGTAACTAACAGCGTAAAGCCTATATAATTTAAACCAGTTTTGTAATTGTTAAATAAAATAAATATTAGATAAAAAATGCATACATTTACAAAATCTAAACTACAACTGATATAAAAATAAATGAAAGCTAAATAGATTTTTTTTTTTAAATGTATAAAAAAGACAATTAGTAAAACTTAAAGTTAAAAATATTAAAATAAATGCTAATTCGATATAAATAGTATATAAATAATACTACAATAAAACTGACAACAATTCAATCAATTATTGCTACAGCAAACTTAAGAATCAATTCAGTGGCCAACAAACAGACCTTTGATTTTGGAGTTGAATGTGCAATCACTAGGGATGGGCGATATAGCTAAAAAATGTATCAACGATATAATGTTTCATATCGTTCGTTATCGATAATTATTGACATTTTTATAACCTTTTTTAAAACAAAGAGCAATAGAAATTTTTTTTTACATTTAACCACTGTATTTTTAAATTAACTTAATTTATTGAGACAAACAACAAATATTTTTGTTTTAACAGTCAAACACAAAATAAAAATTAAACAAATATCTAATTTCTAATGTTTTATATGCAGATTAAATAGGTTAAACTTTTGGCTTGTTTCCCGAGGCCACAGGAGGGCGCAATGAGCAAAATAATGCAGCACATTAAACGGTCCACGCATGGAAATAACTGTACGTCTAAATTAACTCATATAAATCAAATATAATTTCGTAAATTGCATAAACAAATTATGAACAAAACAGCATCACGTATTTATGCATTGCTTAATCCAAAGAGCCGAATCGCCCATCACACAGATTGCCTTTAAAAACATATGAGACGCAGTGAAAAGGAATAAACCTCCACAAATTTGTGACGTGTTTTCTAAAAGTTTAAACTGTTTTAACTTTGCATGACTACATCTCTTGTGTGAGACGCGAGTGCAGCAGTCATATTTGTCCATCTAGAAACTGCACTGAATATTCGTTCTGTGTGAATGGCTTGGTTTCGGTTTTAACCTAATCAAGATCTACTCCGCATTGAGGTTCTATATTTCTCTAATATTTTGAATGAATAACGCAGCAGCAGCGCGTCCCATGGGCTAGACTAACAAAACATTAAAATACAACAACGTCACTTCCATCATCATCACCGCATCTCGCGCGCCACTGATGACGCTCCCTGATGCACACCTAACATTCAAATGCAAAT